GGGAGAAAGAGAGAGAGGAGAGGAAGTGGAAGAGGGAGGCGAGGGAGAGGGAAAAGAACAGAGAAAGAGGATGGCCAGACGGTTCTAAGGTCACGCCCTCCAACCAGCAAGAGTAACCAATCAGGACGACATGTCTCTGCCCGCGACCTCAGACCTTCATCTCGACCCTTGAAAACACTCGAGTCGGTGTCCATCTCAGACCCGGACTCCTTCTGTGGCCACTAATCGATGTCCTCCGCTGGCCCTCCCTCGCCTCTGCACAAGCTGGCCACTTCCATCTTCATCCTCCTTCCACGCTGTCATCTCCAAGAAACAAGGAACCAGACCGCGCGTTTCCCTGCACCGCCAACATGGGGTACACCACACCCCTCACAAAATGGCGTCAACGGTAGAACCCCAACTAAAAAACACTTCACGGGAAGGTAACGGCGATGAGATGTCCACGTGGTAATTGTCCCAGTGATCTGAGTCGCGTTGATTACTGTCGTTCAGTAATAAAACGTCAACATTTGGTTAGTGCAGCTGAGAGAACAGTTAGCAACATTGTCATCGTTCAAAATAAGCATGGAATTCACTGCTGTTCAAATTCTGAAAAAAACTATGAGATATAGATACACACACACATATGAAATATATATATATATATATATATATATATATATATATATATATATATATATATATATATATATATAGAGAGAGAGAGAGAGAGAGAGAGAGAGAGAGAGAGAGAGAGAGAAGAGAGAGAGAGAGAGAGAGAGAGAGAGAGAGAGAGAGAGAGGGAGAGAGAGAGGGAGAGAGAGAGAGAGAGAGAGAGAGAGAGAGAGAGAGAGAGAGAGAGAGAGAGAGAGAGAGAGAGAGAGAGAGAGAGAGAGAGAGAGAGGAGAGAGAGAGAGAGAGAGAGAGAGAGAGAGAGAGAGAGAGAGAGAGAGAGAGAGAGAGAGAGAGAGAGAGAGAGAGAGAGAGAGAGATTGATTTTGATTTTGATTTTGAAAAGTTTATTCAATATAATATACAGTTGTTCATATTTG